GTGGCTCACAGAATGGTTCTGTGTTATTAGCCGCAGCATAGTGGCTCACAGAATGGTTCTGTGTTATTAGCTGAGGCATAGTGGCTCACAGAATGGTTCTGTGTTATTAGCCGCAGCATAGTGGCTCATAGAATGGTTCTGTGTCATTAGCCGAGACACAGTGGCTCATAGAATGGTTCTGTTTTATTAGTCGCAGCATAGCGGCTCATAGAATGGTTCTGTGTTATTAGCCGCAGCATAATGGCTCATACAATGGTTCTGTGTTATTAGCTGAGGCATAGTGGCTCATAGAATGGTTCTGTATTTTTAGCCGAGGCACTGTGGCTCATAGAATGGTTCTGTGTTATTAGCCGAAGCATAGCGTCTCATAGAATGGTTCTGTGTTAATAGCCGATAAACATATTGGCTCATAGAATGGTTCTGTGTTATTAGCCGAGACATAGTGTCTCATAGAATGGTTCTGTGTTATTAGCCGAGACATAGTGGCTCATAGAATTGCTCCGAGTTTTGTTTAAGTACAATGTTTTAACTCGTAGTTCCGTCATCTCTTGACCGATTTGAGGTCTAATTACAGTTTTGGATTCGGGAAGCTAAACCCTTTCGATTAATGTATTTGAACACGCCCAAGGTCTCATAAATTAATTTACTCTAATCCTGCCTAAAATAATTTCAATTTGAGTGTAGGCTGCAGAGATCCTGATGAGTAATAGAATCGAATCGAATGAAATTATTGTAATTCATTGAGTTTCAGTCATCTTTCCCATAAAATCAACCCTTGATTTCGAGATGTGACTTTAAATTTGTAAGCTGTTAGCATGTGATCCTTTTTCTACTTCAATCTTGTATAATGGCTTAAAGTGTGAAGATCGATCCTACTTCAGTCTTGTATACTGGCTTAAAGTGAGAAGCTGGATCCTACTTCAGTCTTGTATACTGGCTTAAAGTGAGAAGCTGGATCCTACTCCAGTCTTGTATAATGGCTTAAAGTGAGAAGCTGGATCCTACTTCAGTCTTGTATAATGGCTTAAAGTGTGAAGATGGATCCTACGGGATCGATCTTCACACTTTAAGCCATTATACAAGACTGAAACTTCAGTCTTGTATATTGGCTTAAAGTGTGAAGCTGGATCCTACTTCAGTCTTGTATACTGGCTTAAAGTGTGAAGATCGATCCTACTTTAGTCTTGTATACTGGCTTAAAGTGAGAAGCTGGATCCTACTTTAGTCTTGTATACTGGCTTAAAGTGAGAAGCTGGATCCTACTTCAGTCTTGTATACTGGCTTAAAGTGTGAAGCTGGATCCTACTTTAGTCTTGTATACTGGCTTAAAGTGAGAAGCTGGATCCTACTTCAGTCTTGTATATTGGCTTAAAGTGTGAAGCTGGATCCTCCTTCTGTTCTAGATGCTGTAATGTATAAATTACACTGAAAACATTTCTTTTATCTGTAGTTTGGTTCTGCTTTATATAACAGTTTAGTTTTGTAAATATCCTATTTCGATATGGGATGTGATGTGGACATCCAACAATAAGATAATCTGTAACTGCATTTCACTCTCGAATGATCGGGAACCAAACATATAATCTAATAAGCATAATACCCATGACACAACGATACTGCATTGTTTATGCAAGATTTCAGTATTATTATATATTTGGTTGTGGGGGAGGAGGAATTAAAACTAGTTTTCTGTCCAAAAAGTTATAGTAAACAATTTCTCTATAGGACTTAGTTTCATAGAAATAATAAGAAAGATAGCAAAAATATAGGGTGTATAACAAGTTGCATAGAAACGTATGTTATAAATTCAAAAAAGCCGTATTAAACAGAAACTGGTCTGGTATTTTCTGCCTGCTTCATATAAAATAAAAAGGAATATTGACAGAGAACTGTTAACACTTTATACTGCCGTACTTAAAACATTATCAGTTTCTTCTTATCATAGATACACTATAAGAGCGATGTTGATTGGTTTTCAAACTGGTCACTCGTTTTTTGTGCTGTCTTTGGAACATATTAAAAACTCCACTCTTAGAAACTAAATGTTTTACTTAAAACAATATTCACATATATTTTTACTTACTTCCTCTTTGTCTCTCGATATATATATATATATATATACACAGTGCTGTGTAAGAGTAACGGTCAAATCCCACTTTTCGGTCAGACAAGAGAAGCCCAAGAAATTACAGTGGATGGTGTTGACTAACTGCCTTCTCTCTAGTATATTGGTTCAAAATTAGGGACAGCTATGTGTACATATTTATTACGTAACTTTCTGTGGAGATTCTAAAACACGTAAACTCCGCATTTTTCTCTTTAAGCCAAAGTAATTTAAGAACTGTGAAGTAATTGTATTAATATGTTTAAACACTTCAAAGTTATATTGTTAATAAAATATCCTAAATGGATAAAGGGCTTTATGGGTAAAAGATTTTGTGTTTATATATAACGTATATACACTGGTCTACTTTTAAAGGTTGATTAGTTTTTGCTGCTGTAGGGAAGTCAGAACGACACTGGAAACTTTTTAAGCAGTCTTCAGCGACTTTATCACACATCATAATTTTTAGTTTTATGTTACAAAGATTAAACTTAAATAAGTCTCACATGGGTTTCCTATAATTATAAAGGTGGTTAAAACTTCACTTACATAGAACATACCCTCACAAGTTAGAAATAACAATAAATTCTCACCTTCGTAACTTTCTGTAAAATGTCAGTCACAAAATTTTTAGAACCATGAAGGGTTTTAAGTGACATTATTCTTGGAACAAGCATACGAACACTGCAGACATTATTACGCAAAATTTTAAATTAATCGAATTGCTAATGGGTAAAACAGATGACTAACAACAGGGAGGTCGATTTATTGGAGCAGCGGAGTGTTTTTGGTTGCGAGAATAAAAGTGAACGCTCACAAGTTAGTTGTCAAGGTGTTAGTATGTCAGACTACAACTAAGCTTACTCCAAGGGTTAAAGCAACCTTGAATTGCCATGAACTTCAAATAGTGATTATGAGAGAAAGCAACCGTGAAATACCATATTTTATTCTAGAAAGAAGAAACAATTTCAGAAGAGAAGAAGCAAAGTGAGTTAATCAGTCCCTAGAAAGAGCTGGAAACAGGAGGCTGGAAGCTTAAACATTTGAAATACCTGTCAAAAGACAGAAAATATATGAGCATCAGTATTAATTCCATTTAAATTCAGAGTTAGTGTTAATACGGTACTTGCCCTTCAGTGGTAATAAACCTGCAATTTGTATATTTAGTTTGGACAAACTTTTGTGAAAAGAACATGTAGCATTTAGGTTATGCCCCTAAGTTTAAGAATTACCAATAAAGAGTTTGACAGAATCCACCCCTTTTAAAAACCATTTCAACACAGTGCTAAGTGTCAATTTGTGATCCCTTTCGTTTATAGAAAAATAAAAGTCAGTTATCATTTAATTTCTGACACCAGCTTCTTCGTGATGAAAGCTGTTCATTCAGTAAATTATGCATACTTCTGAAATTATGTCATAATTGATTATGCAATTTTTATATTAAAGCGGTAATAATAGCAGCCACAAGATCCACAAACACAACAGTTAACCCACGTTGACCAGAGACATAAAAATAGATTCTTCAACGTTGACTCCTAAAGAATTTAGAACATTATTTTCTCATGAGGAAAACAACTTAGAAAATGTAATGATCACCAGTGCTAGGTCTTAGTCATATTCTCAAAATGTTTGGTAACATTGGATACGTAAGGCCACAAGAAACGATATTAGGGGTGGGGAAAAACATCGTCATATTTCGGGACAAATGGAAATATACTATAGAAACAACTCTCATTGAATAAGAAAAGCTCAGGTGGATTAATAATAAGTAAATAATTGAGTCGATTCATAAAGTAATATATTATATTTTATTGCAGAGCAAAACTGAGCTTAGAAATTGTTAGCATGTAGACATATATAATGGGTTAAGCTATTAGACAGGAATTAGGCTGCTGTCTAAATTATTTATGAGCAGTTATAAAGATATATATTCCTTAACCAAATTTTGTGTCAATCATATTTGAAGCAATTGATAACTTATTTATGAGATAAAGGAAGAGATGTAATGACATGGTCTTATTGGTAGTGTGGTCTGCAGTTATCTCACTTCATTCTGCAGACATAATTCAGTTAACATGTAATGTTCACTTGAAGAAAATAAACTACTGAATAACGTCATTATACCATGATAACTCACTTAAAGAAAACAAACTACCGAGTAACGTCATTATATCATAATAACCCACTTAAATAAACAAACTACCGAGTAACGTCATTATATCATAATAACCCACTTAAAGGAAAGAAACTACCGAGTAACGTCATTATACCATGATAACTCACTTAAAGAAAACAAACTACCGAGTAACGTCATTATACCATGATAACCCACTTAAAGAAAACAAACTACCGAGTAACGTCATTATACCATGATAACTCACTTAAAGAAAACAAACTACCGAGTAACGTCATTATACCATGATAACCCACTTAAAGAAAACAAACTACTGAATAACGTCATTATACCATGATAACCCACTTAAAGAAAACAACTACCGAGTAACGTCATTATATCATAATAACCCACTTAAATAAACAAACTACCGAGTAACGTCATTATACCATGATAACCCACTTAATGGAAAGAAACCACTGAATAACGTCATTATACCATGATAACCCATTTAAAGAAAACAAACTACCGAGTAACGTCATTATACCATGATAACTCACTTAAAGAAAACAAACTACCGAGTAACGTCATTATATCATAATAACCCACTTAAAGGAAAGAAACTACTGAGTAACGTCATTATATCACGATAGCCCACTTAAATAAACAAACTACCAAGTAACGTCATTATACCATGATAACCCACTTAAAGAAAACAAACTACCAAGTAACGTCATTATACCATGATAACCCACTTAAAGAAAACAAACTACTGAATAACGTTATCATACCATGATAACCCACTTAAAGAAAACAAACTACCGAGTAACGTCATTATACCATGATAACTCACTTAAAGAAAACAAACTACTGAATAACGTTATCATACCATGATAACTCACTTAAAGAAAACAAACTACCGAGTAACGTCATTATACCATGATAACTCACTTAAAGAAAAGAAACCACTGAGTAACGTCATTTTACCATGGTAACCCACTTAAAGAAAACAAATTACTGAATAACGTCATGATATCATGATAACCCACATAAAGAAAACAAACTAATGAGTACTATCATTGTACCATGGTAACCCACTTAAAGAAAACAAACTACTGAGTAACGTCATTATATCATGATAACCCACCTAAATAAACAAACTACCAGGGAACGTCATAATATCATGATAACTCACTCAAAGAAAAGAAACTACTGAGTGATGTCGTTATATTATGCGATGCTACGAACGCTCATTCTTGTGTAAATTTTTTGACTATTTAGATTTGCACATGGCTTCCATATAATTTTTTTAAACTTTTTAACGTTAATTTTATGGAAAATATACCTTTGTTTACATAATGATAAATGGAAGTGATATAATATAGTAATAATAATACCATATTTACCGTCCAAATATTAGATCACGAAAATACAGGAGATCGATGCTGGTTTGTACCAGTGCCAAGTAATTATTGGAACTAGCAACAAAATCAAAGCAGATGTTTTGGTGTACGTCCGAAGTGAGTATAGTCAAAGTGCATTTTCCTATTCTGGAGAAGTAATAATACAGTAGGCTTTCCTTAAAATATTTCGCTTTTAATTGTCACTTCTCCTCTTCTATTTGGATAATTACATATTAATATATTTAATGATTTATTGTTTTATATATTCATGAACAAGATACTGTTGTTAGCTAATCAGAATAAGGTAATGCAGAATATAAATTTAAGTATTAAGATTATATATAAATGGACGTTTTAATGACGTACATGACCGTTGTTAGCTAAAGAAGTGATTAATCACGTGGATTCTGCTATTTACCTATTCTGTTAGCTACATAGTTTCAGATACTAATCAATCTTATGAAACGAAAATTTCTGAGATAAATGATCATTTCAGATAATCATGATAGAGTTTTCTGTAACCCAAAATATATAATAAACCATTAATAAGAGCCGCTTAGATCATTCGTAGACCAGGGATTAAAAAACAAGGTCAAAGATTTATCAGAAAAATTTATAAGCTGATTATATCTATCTAATTTTTCCTATACGTTAACAAACGCCCCACTCATTCAATCCCCGATCTTTAGCTTAGAATGCTAATCCATCACCTATTCAAAGTCATTTCAAGATGAAACAGCAAACGACCTCACAAGTTTCTCTACCATTAATATTCAAAAGTTTACTGAGAACTTGTGTTTTGTTCTCATATAAGTCCCACACATTACCACACCAAACCGGCCTTGAGAGTGGACACGAAGATGATCCGAAACGTTGACCAGAGTAAATTATCAGGGAAGTTATCTGTATATCTTCACTTTATTTTACCAGCTCCATTTGCTAATAATGAATATAAAGCATCATAATGCAAGGATATCGTTAATGATAATTTGTAGAGTCCATCAAGTAAACCTTTGTGATATCATCACTTAGGCCACGGAGACATCCTGGCACTGAAGGCCAAGTCAGAGGTGATGAAATTTGGCCAGGATGTGATGTATGCTGGTGAGGGAAATCCACCCAGTGGCGTAGTGAGCGTATTTGACGCCCTGGAGTAAAAACCTCAATTTGCGCCCCCTTCCACACATACACCCCCATTAAAATAAAGATATCTCTATCGTAGCCTACTGTAAAATGAAAGTCTATGTAATATGGGAAACTTTATTAATAAAACAAAACATTGTAAAACAAAGTTTATCAATATGAAATAATAGAACAGAAATGATTATTTACACGCATATGGAAATGGGGTCTTTCTTTAATAACATGAATTATACAAAATGCAACTTTCTTGCTTTAACTGCAGCAAATTTATCTATGATTTTATCGAAATTAATTTTGTCAAGTGTTTCCCTCTCTATGCTTATTAAGGCTAAGTCACGAAGCCTGTCTTGCCCATCGATGATCTCAAATACGTGAGAATAAGTTTTAATTTCCTAAAGATCGTTCGCAGCTACCAATTGAAACAGTTAGCATGATTTGCAATGCCACACGCATATTAGGGAAAACGTCCTTGCCACATGCTATTATGAATGATAATAAATCAATAATAGAGTCTGGTGCAGCTTCCTGGCGTGTATTGATGAGCATTTTGCAGTCACAAGTTTCATGATGGAGTGTATTTCCTTCTATGTCAGTGTTGTATAATATGCCCAAACGTTCACACTTTTCTTTAAGGGAAGGGTCTGATGTTGACGGAACACTGGTATCTTTCAATAGCTTGTGGATGTTAAAATATGTGGATGAAATATAGTGCTATCGGAATATCGCAAAATACCAATCTTTCTTTGGGTGGGAAGAGCTCACTCTTTTGATATTTTCCTCTTGTGTAGTTATTATAGACAGGCGGGATAAATGGTACAGTCAGGAGCTATTCTTAGTTCTCATTGGTTCTGGATATACCTGCAGCTTGCTGGTTGGTTCTGTATTTGTCTTCACTATTCTCATGTTCAGCTTCCACATTGAAAGTGAATAGTCTTGTTTCAATTTATTAATATTTTTCTCCTCGTATGTTTTGCCTTAGTGGTAGTAAGCCAGTAAGTTTAAGGTTCCTTTTATACGATATTATCAGTTATTCTTGATCTTTAATGCTGGTTTTGTGCTTCCCAGTGGCACAGCGGTATGTCTGCGGACTTACAACTCTAGAAACCGGGTTTCGATGCCCGTGGTGGACAAAGCATACATAGCCCATTTTGTAGCTTTATGCTTAACTACAAACAAATCGGTTCTACTTATTCAGACACTTTTCACCTTTTTGTGTATTACGTTCTCGTTGTCTTTCGGAATGTTACACAGGTTCTAGCTACCTATCTAACCTAACGTTACTACACATAAACAAAGACAATGTTAGTTTACTTAGCTTTAACAAGAATGTATGAAATAGTCTTGCACGAAGATTTTGTTGCAAATTTACCAATCACAGTGGTTTACACGCGTAGGAGTATAGCATAACAATTTGTGGTATAAATGTGACCTTGAGATTTGAAACATACAACAAAAGAATAAAACAAAAACAAGTATATAGAATATTAAAATAGTTAGTGGCTTAGCAGAGATAAATATTTTCTAGGAACTGTAATGAAGCACAAGAAATACTGTTATAATATAACTTTAATTATTATACTTATTATATAAATTACATTTATTTTACATAATATGACATATCTGTGTCACTAACATGAAACACTCTAAATCTTCTGGTAGTAAACTACTTACTCAGAAACACAAGTATTAGATAAATAAAATCAGTTAATAAAGAAGTATAAAGAAGGTATGCCTACTTTGACAGGTGATAGCACAATTCATTTACCTAGATTTGTCGACAAGTGAATTGTAGTTAATAGGTAATTACATATCAATCAAATAATGATTAAACAGTATGTAGAGTTTATTTGTTGTTTTTAAATATGCTCAGTTGAGTTCTCGTTAACATAACAAAGGATAAAAGAATAGATGAATTACAAAACATAAACCAAAAGTACAAAGATTATGTGCTTCTTCTTTTATAACTTAGTGTAATTATGATATTTTTATACATCGATTTGTGTTTCGTCTACAGATAGCTTCTTTTAATATCCTTCCAGTTCCTCCAATAATTTCAGACAATAGCACTCGATCCAGTATTACAAGCACCGGAGCCACAGTTTCGTTAAATTGTTATGCATCTGGCTATCCTGACCCACAGATTTCATGGAGGAGAGAGAACAATGACCTTCTGCCATCAGGTGTCGCTGTTTATCGCGGAAACGTTTTAACTATTCATAATATTACAAAGGACGACCGCGGAACCTACTATTGTGTTGCTGATAATGGTGTTGGTAGAGGTGCACGTCGAAACATTGGTGTTGAAGTTGAGTGTGAGTAGAGTTCCAACAAACAAATTATTTCTTGTTTGTTTGTTTCGATATACAACAACAACAAAAATTCTCTTTAGAAGCTACTGCGAATCATTCACAAACAGAGTAAAGTATTTGCTTTAAATTTTTACGTATAATGCTCTTATATAATTTTAATTGGGTCTGAACATTTTTAGCCGCAGCACAGTGGCTCATAGAATGGCTTTGAGTTTTTATTTTGTTTTTGTTTTTCAGGTACAAACCTTTACCTCATAGCTCTGTCATCTCTTGACCGATTTGAGATCTAATCACCGTTTTAGACTCAAGAGATCAAACCCTTTCGATTGATGTAGGTGACCACGCCCATGGTCTCATAGATTAATTTACTCTAATCTGCCTAAAAGAATTTAAATTTGAGGGTGGGCTGGTAGAGAGTAATAAAATCGAATCGGCTATAAGCGCCCCACCTTGGTATTGCTGGCGCACAAAAATATATCTAATAAAAAGGGGAGAAAAAAGGTGTCATAGATTAATTTACTCTAATCCTACCTAAAAGAATTTGAAGTGCCGCGGCTATTGAAGATTCCCTCTTGTTCCTCTGAGACTCCAATTTTATTCATTGGGATATTACGTTATTTAAGTGCATGTTAGTAGATACAACGTAATTACATAATTAATATGAACGGGGGGGGGGAATAGATGAGATAGCTTAAATGTATTATTTTATCAAACTAGTTTTAATTAGAGTGTATTATACGACTGTTTCATTTCGGTGTATTAATCTTAAGTATTACAATGTGTTTGCTTCAATGTTTGGAATGAAAATCTTTAGCTTCAGTAATGGTAATCACATTTTTATTTAAGAGGTTATCGTTATTACCAACAACAATTCAACTATCTATATACTATGTTTGGATAAGAGGTTATTGATACGAGTTATGGTATCGTAATGTAGCTTAAGTTTTTGCAGACATGTTTACGTATTTAAGTCTATTGTTTGATGTTGACTTAAATTATATAAATAGCTTAAACTAATCTAATTAAAAAAACTTAGGTGTGAAAAAAAGGCGCGGCCAAAAAATGATTCAGCCTGCGACTTAAAGGAATGACATCAAAATTAGCGGCCAAACTGGTAGCTACTGTTACGTATTAGAATTTCAAATAGTTCAAAACCGAGTTAACTGATAATTTAAATTTAATAGTTAAATAAAAGCCGATATTTAGTCAGTTTATGATTTTTGCCAATAAGATTGATACATACAATTTTCGTTTTTAACACAAATACGTTTTAATATATACACAACAATACAATTTATAATAACAGCTATTATTACAAATAGTTATTACAAGCAATAATTTATAAACAAAAGTTTCACAAACTTACAAGCAATATAAAGTCTTACTTTTAATCTGGAACTTCTTCTTCATCTTATCGAGGGTTCACGATGATCGAGTTGATTACGAGTTGACGTAGATACCGTATTTATCGGTGTATAAGACGCACCTTTTTACCCCAAAATTTGATGTCCAAATCTGCTTGCGTCCTATACACCGAAGGTATGAATAATATATATGTATATATACGATATACACAAGCCATATGTAAATATATTTAAATAGGCATGCTTAATTGAGTTCAATTGGATGTGTTATTTATAACAATAGTATTTTTTTTTCTTTTAAAAACATAACTATTTATAATGCTCCCTAAATAATAAAAAAATAAATTATAGTAATGGATGAGAGTGAAAAAGCTTATAAATACACAACGACCCCTGTTTAGTGTGGAGCAGAATAAGGCCGTTTCAGGCCTAACTTTAACAAATAAAAAATCGTTTTTTGAGTGCTTGCCTTGGATTCAAATGAGCTTTGTGTTTAGAACAATATATACTAATTTTTAAAGTATCAAATTGAATTTTTGTTCAATAAAAATATTTCAAATGCGAATGTAGCTTTTTTTCCCCCAAACTGTGTTTTCAAAATAAGGGTGCGTCTTATATTCCGAACAATACGGTATATTTCACTTAACAGGGAGCTAGCTAGCCCTGTATTCTTCACTATTCGTTTGCTTATTAGAGAATGAGTTTCCACCGATGACGTTAGGTAATGTTTTCGTAAAAGTATTAATGTCCGATGAGAATCCACTGAAGTTAAACGATTTGTAATGTTCGACCTTTGTAAAGGTTCCTGGTCAAATATCTAAAGTTTTCCGATTGACAAGCGTTATAACAATCACTGTTATAGCTTCCGAAGTTTATAGCACTCTGACTATAGTGAACTAATAATAGATACACTCCTTGGCGCATCGCGTTGGTTATATTTATGGGCGTGTAAAGAGGCTTTCTAGAAATTTCAATTTTACGTAACAATACAAAGTTAAGCGTTTACGTATACACACGTATTGTTGATTCTTACTCTCGAGAATCTTCTACAACTTTGTAGAATAGGCGAGAGTTTTGTAATACATATCTAACAGTATAAGCTATGTATGTTTCTAAATATATATTTAATCTAAACAAATGTTGATATCAAAATACATATATGATAATAAATTCGTTACACTACACTTAGAGCATTGATAAGAATTTTACAGCAAATATTCATTCATTAGTTAGCTAAGTCGCGTATTTTGTTATTGTTGTTCAACTTGGGACATGATGGTGGGTAAATTCAACACTTACCAAAACACATTTAATAAGAACCTCAGCAGGACTTCACACTAATATTAATAAACAATTTATCATAAATATTAATAAATGAATAATAATAATCGAAGCAGGAAAAAGAACCAGAAAGAAAAACCTAATTAAAAACAACAACAACAAATACAATATTCAAACAATACTTTTCAGTATCGATAACAATATCGAGTGACAAACAGCAGTAACTATATCCTTCAATAAATATCTTGTGACTCTCTTCTCTCTCAGTGAAGCTTCTGGAAGGAGAGCTGGTGTCAGTTCAATCATACACACAAATATATTTACTCAAATACAAATGATTATGTAGTACTTCTATTTTATTGGGGAATAACGATAAGGTTTACTAAATACTGGCTTTTCTGTCGTGATTACAAAACTATGGTCAGACAAATCTGAGAGGCCAGGTTTATTATTAGAAATATCGGCATATTTCAACAAAAATTGCTTTAATTGTTCACAGTCTTTACTCTTTAAATGTGAACATTATACTTCCTTCTTAAATCAGTATTTTTTTCAGTCTGAAAGTCATGTCTAACAGATGGTACGTTTAATTCAAGAACATTTGTGAAGAAAAGGGTTGCTTCGTTTTCTTGAATGAAGTCTAATCCAATAATACAAGATACAACCAAATATTTAACGACAACAAAACATTGGTTCACAATGCTATTTGTTAGTAATAGTTTTACTTCAAAATATTCTAACGGTTGACAGTTCGCCATTCCATCTACAAGACGCGTGTTACTTTTACTCCAAGTTTTTATTTCAAGTGTTGGATCATTTCTCTTGATTTGTTGCCATATATTTTCATTTAGTACTGGATAATCCGACCCAGTATATATACGACCTACCACTTTCACACCATTAATTTATAGGGTTAGGTGTGTTAGATCTATTTTAGTTGTTGTTAAATAGTTAATGGAGGGTTTTACTTTCACGGGACTCAATACCTCCTTCTTTGATCCCTGCTCTCGTTTCTCGACTGCTGTCCTTCGTTTCTTTGTTCCCTGTTAACATATTTTATTTTCTTGGTAGAATGCATAGATAAGTGCTCTATTTGATTACAAGTATAGCATCACATAAATCGATTACAGAGCTCCGTTTTAATCACTTCACTATTGAAAGTTTCTAGTTTATTGCTCGTATTGTTTAATAAATTTAAGCACATTAGCAATAAATACAACAAAGTGGCATTCCAAGTATTCTCGTAAAGAAACGTGCAATTACGATATTGTACACTTCACAGTTTCTCTTTCTGTAGCTTCAGGGTTCCATAATTTATAAATTTTCACAGTTTTCCATACAAACATCTCAACTGACTCTCCTGCATTAGCATGGTACTTCTTACTCAAAGAGTTCCTTAGCCAATTCGATATTATCTAACGCCAATGGGTACAAGTTAGTGAATGTTTTTTAAATTCTCCTCAGTGTTCAAAAGCCATTTCTGATCAGAAAGCCTTCCATCGTTCTAACTTTCTCAAAGAAGTTGGAAAACAACGAAATGTAGATTTGATTTGCTAGTAACTCCAGGACAATTCAGAGAAGATGACTGTAATAAATTGTGTACCAGCTGAGGTAAGCAAAGTGTGGCATCTTGTAACAGGTGAGAATCAACGAACACAAAAGTCAATGGTAAAAGCCACCCATGTGTCTCAGATAATAGTACGCAACATAATCCAAAGGAAAAGTGACACAAATTACTTCCACAACATAGCCAGGGAAGAAAGACAACTGTATAAAATAGTATGAACTGTATCTATTCATGGGGAAATGACAATACGTGGTGATCCTCAACGAAGCATATGTAGATTTATATCAATCAGCGGGTGAAGACATTTTCTAAAAGTGGTACACAACACGTTGCAGAATATTGTTGAAAAGATCAACACCAAATACTGTATCACGGGTAAATTATAAATGAAAGGTCAAGGTGACTACTATCTGTTTACTATCAGACCAATCAATGTACCGGCTTTGTAGGGAAGCAAAGCTAAGAGGGTATAGTTTCATCAAGATAAGGTTTCCAGCTATACCTCCTATTTTTGATATTATAATAAATATATTTATATTATCGAAAACGTGATTGCAATTTAAATTCGTGATATAAACTGTTAATAGGTTTAGAGCTATATATATATATATATGAGTTGTTAGAATTATCTCATTTATTCTGATGTAAACTGTTAATGGGTATATATATATATATATATA